TACAAAAATTGTAAAAGCAAGTTCAAATTCCACCACAACTAGCTCTACAAGTGCAACTACTGGAAAATACATGGCTCAGAAATTACAAAACTCAGCCAATGATCAATCACTTCTCAGGATTTTAGTGAAACAAATAGATTTAACACAATTGGAACAAATCAGATCGAAAACTGTCTTTTGTGTTTACAATTTAATTGTGAGTGATGATGAGGGTGGTTCCATTCAGAAATTGTTGGTAAAGGAAGGATTTGTGGAAAAGATGGTTTCCATTTTAGAGAATCCAAACAGTGAAAATAATGAATGCCTTGCTAACTGTCTAATGTCACTCTCATTTGTATGTGAAAAGAAGGGACAATGTTCTGAAATTCAACTTGTTAGGGCATTGAAAGTGGTAAGCAATTTCCTCACTCATGCAGTTGATTCAATTGCTCAAAGTGCTGCAGGAGCAGTTGGAAACATTGTCCAAAATCCAGAAATTTCCACTCAACTCCACGAACACACATTCATCATGTCCAATTTAGTGTCGGCCTTCAAAAAGTTCTCTTCAAAAAACAAGACAGCTCTCGAACATGTCCTCTCCTCAGTAGTTTCCCTATGTTATGCTAGTCCAGAAATGTGCCTCGAATTTTCACAATCTAAGGGAGGTTTAATTATTTTGACCAATTTTTTGAGAGATGAAATTAGCATTGCCTCTCAAAAACCATCTTGTTTCAATATGGCCACAAGTTTGTTGGTCAAATTGACCAATATGAGAGAAAATATTGAGGCATTTAGAGAGAGTGGTTTTGTAAAACTCATTGCTGAATGGTTTTCCAAATCTCCATGTCCAATTCCACAACCAAATTTGGAATCGTATAATGCTGCCTTATTTAACATGACCAAGAATGCAGAAAATCAAAAGATTCTCCTCTCTCATGCAATTGTTCCACAACTAATTCGATTTGCCAATGGAAAGGATAAGCAAGTGAGCTCATTCGCAGCCAAATCCTTATGGAACTTATCAGCCACCGATATGAAATGCAGAGAAGATATTCGAAAGGAGGGAATCAATGATGCTACATTGAAACAACTTGCTGGAATACAGTAAAATGAATTTATTATTAACAATTAATTACCAAATATGATCAATTCCTTTTAGTTGATGAAAATTTTTACAATTTTTAAAAAGCAACAAAAAAATGATTAAATCGATAAGCAGAAAACAATTCACCAATTTTTCATCTTCATTACAAATTATTAGTAATAATAATAGAAAAATTAATTATTTTCGTAATTTCTCTGCATCAAGATTTTCTTTTGCCGATAACAATATTTCATCATCATCATCACTCCGAGGAAAATTACTGACTGATCATTTCAAAATTATTCCCTCCGTATCGGATGGCAATTGTCTCTATGATAGTCTTTCGAAAGGAATTAATAATGGAAAGAATCATCAAAAATTGAGAGAGGAAATTT